AGTCTCTTTTCTGTTTCCACCTATGACATATTGTGGCACTTAACATAGTGACTGTGGACTTGCATACAAGGCACTCCACTCTTTCATCCAAGTCATTTATAAATATAGTGAAAATCAGAAACCCCTGTAGGACACAGTTAATTACACTGCACTGACAAAAGTATTTATTTATTAGCTGTACTGTTAGAGTCCTCCCAGCTAGCCATTCCCTACCTATACTAAAAAGTTGCTTCTAAATCCATGGGCTTCTATTTTTTTCCCCTAATATGTTGGTAATTAGGCTTTTAATAAAATCATACATCAGTCGGTTGCTATGTAACCAAGATGGATGTCAACCAAAGTGCCAGATTTTTGATGTCTCATGAATAACATTTGGATGACCTCACTGTTTCAAGTTTAGTGAAAACTGAATTTATAGCCTGATGGTTTGCCATTTTTCAACAGTAGGCCAACATTTCATGGACTGTTAACCCACTTAACACTGTAGTAGCGGGGTTCAACAAGAACGAGAGGATCGTCTCATAACTAAATCAGTGGGCAGGGATTTATGGTTAACCAAAAAAAATTTGCAATTATGTGTTCTATAAGATTATTAGATTTTGGGACTGTAAATTCACTTTTGGGTATATGAAGGTGTCCTGTAACCTGCTCTATGGTCTGTCTGATGGTAAGTTTGAGTAGTTTGATTGTTAGAATCAAAGAAAAACTCAAATTATGTTCCTGAGAAAAAGATGCAAAGTATTTGAGCCTGGAGACGCTGGGAGCAGTCTCCGAGTTTGCAATGAATAGATGCCGGCCCAGATTTTCATTCCTGAGGTGGGAAATTTTTCAACTTAGTTTACCCAACTGAAAACAAAAGTGCCCCGATTTCCATAATCTTCATTCTGGGAGGGTGGGTACATGCTAGAGTCAGATCCGCTAATCCTGCCATACACAGTTGAGAGGAGGACACAGAGGTCGCTAATTATCAGTGACAACAGGTTAAAAGGCCCATCTAGGTTCCCTGACACACTTTCTCAATACTAGGCTCTCTAGCCCTCACCATTCATACCCCCATCACGCCCTGTACCAACAGTCTATGCCCCACCTGGGCCCCTCCATCAATACCCCACTGACACCTCATTCTCTTCGTGCCAACCCACATCTATCCACATATCCCGATGGTATTTTTCTTTTGAATATCCATTCGTGTGATGTGGGCATCATTGGCTTGGCCAACATTTATTGTCCATCCCTAATTGCCCTTAAGAAGGTGGTGGTGAGCTGCATTCTTAAACTGCAGCAGTTCATCTGCTGTGGGTAGACCCATAATGCCCTTAGGGAAGAAATTGCAGGATTTTAACCCAGTGACAGTGAAGGAACGGTGATACATTTCCAAGTCAAGGTGATGAGTGGCTTGGAGGAGAATTTGTAGGAGGTGGTGTTCCCATGTATCTGCTGCCCTTGTCTTTCTAAAAGGAAGTGGCCATGGGTTTGGAAGGTTCTGTCTGAGGATTTTTGGCGAATTTCTACAATGCATCCTGTAGATAGTACACACTGCTGCAACTGAGGGTCGGTGGTGGAGGGAGTGGATGCTTGTGGATGTGGTGCCAATTAAGCGGGCTGCTTTGTCCTGGATGGTGTCAAGCTTCTTGAGTGCTGTTGGGGTTGCATTCAAGCAGGCAAGTGGGGAGTATTCCATCACACTGCTGACTTGTCCTTGTGGATGATAGACAGTCTTTTGCAAGTCAGGAGGTGAGTTACTTGCCGCAGTATTCCAAGCCTCTAACCTGCTCTTGTAGCATCTGCTTTTTATGTGGTGAGTCCAGCAGGTTTCTGGTCAATGGCAACCCCAAGGATGTTGATAGTGGGGGATTCAGTGATGGTAACACCATTGAATATCAAGGGGAGGTGGTTAGATTGTCTCCTGTTTGGGATGGTCATTGCCCGGCATTCGTTTGGCACAAATGTTATTTGCCACTTGTTGGCCCAGATCTTGTTGCATTTGAACATGAACTGCTTATTATAACCACATTATTGCCACATTGTAGCTACAATTTAGTGCTAACATTTGACTCTGAACTCGTGACAATCTAGTTCAAATTCATGCCAGCCTATAATCACCCATATGACATTCACCACCATTTGCCCTTATACTTTGTGCCAACTTACCCAATGTTCACTAAGGTGAATCTCATAAGCAATGCTGAGACAAAACAAAATAAAGCTTTAAGGCTCTATAAGCAAACCTAACTCCATCCACTACTTTTCTTATAAAAGGAGGGTGGTTGGGGAAAATAGGAATTACAGACTGGTTAGCCTAACATTAGCACTGGAGAAAATGCTCGAGTTTGCTAAAAAGGATACAATTACAGGACACTTAGAAAATACCAACAGGATTACACAAAGTCAGCATGGGTTTATGAGTGGAAAATAGTGTTTGACAAACAGGAGTGTTCTGAGAGCATAATTAGTAGAATATAGGAGAGAGAATCAGTGGATGTGGTGCTTTTGGGTTTTCAGAAAGCTTTAAATAAAGTTCCATACAAAATGTTAGTGTGAAAATTTAAAGCACATAGGATTGATGGTAATTTACTGGCATTGATTGGAATTAGTTAGCAGGCAGAAAATAAAGAGGTGGCGGCAAATGGGCTATCACAGGGATTTAGTCCCAGCTATTCACAACAGATCAGTGACTTAGACGAGAGAATCAAATGAAATACCTCCTAGGCTTCTTGACAACAAAAAATTAAGAGAGATTGAGAGTGGTGAGGAGGATACAAAGAGGCTTCAAATGATTCAGACATGTCGAGTGAGTAGGCAAATGCATGGCAAATGCAGTCTAATGTGGACAATTGTGAATTGTTCACTTTAGTAGGAAAAACAGAATTACAGCGTATTATTCAAATGGTGATATATTGAGAAATGTTGATGAGCAAGGAGATCAAGTTATCCCCGTACACTGGTCACTGAAATCGGGCATGCAATGCAACAAGCAGTTAGGAAGGCTCATGGTATTTTGGCCTTCGTTGCAAAAAAAGGTTTGAGTACAGGAGCAGGGATGTCTCACTACAGCTGGATAGGACCTTGGTGAGATCACACCTGGAGTATTGTGTGTAGTCTTGGTCTCCTTACACAAGAAAAAATATAATTACTACGGAGAGACTGCAGCCAAGGTTCACTAGGCTGATTCTTAGGATGGCAGATTTGTCATATGGAGATTAATTAGGTTGTCTATGCCTGTGTTCGCTGGAGTTTCGAAGAATCAGAAGGAATCTCATTGAAATATACAAAATTCTAACAAGGGCAGAACAGACTGGATGCAGGGATGATGCTTCCCAGCTGGGGGAGAATGCAGAACAGGGCGTCATGGTCTCAGAGACTGCATTGGCCAATTCAGATTGAGATGAGAAATTGTGGAAATCTCTACAACAGAAGCATTGGTGGCCACATCACTGTATATGTTTGAGAAAAAAATAAAATTTCTTGAGGCTAAAGATCTTAAGGGGAATTGAGAAGAGGAGAAAGAGTAAGGTATTGAGATAAGGGATCAACATAAATATGCTGAATGGCAGACTGGGCTTGATGGGCCAAATGGCCCAATCTTGCTCCATTTTCTATGTTTCTGTTACAGAATTCAACCATATATAAAATAAATACTCCTTGGAAAAAAACAATTCAATAGATTTAAATACCCTCAGGTACTTAATCCCTTATCAAAAAAATCATATTCATAGAACATCAAAGGCAGGAAATGCTTTAATAACCTCTAGGTACTGTCAATCAAACCGAGAACATACAACCCCCTCACCACTGTGATAATGCTCTAATGTTTGCCTGCAAGATTATGTCAACGAGTATCTTCTTAAATTGCAAGCATCAAATTATTTTCAACTCAGTCATAGATATGCTGCTTTTAAAAAAAGCATGGGCAGGAGATTTAAAGTCCACAGCTCCACAGACTGCATTTGCCGTTATGAGAACTTACATCTGCAGTAACGAAAACAAATTACAAACTGCAGGATAGGAACCTCATTCCGTTGAAAATGGGATCTATCAGTACGAAGTTCAAATGGCCCTTCTGAATATGAATGGAAGTTGGAGTCAACATAATTAATCAGAAGTTCTCCTTGGATGCTAGGCAAGGTCAATGTGATTCTCATTATCATAGGGAAATGGGTAAACCATTTTTAAGACCAGGTTACAGGCTTCCCTTCAAATGAATACCTCAGACATTTGGGAGTCTGAACAGACAGAAAAGACTATACTGCAAGCTACCATAGTGGATTCAAAAGGAGATGGCCTGTACTAAAAAAGATGCTTCTTTTTGGTTTCTAATATTTCAGGATTCATCCCGGCACAGCTGGAAATTTTGGGGTAGCCAGGGGAGAGAAGAATCACAACAGGCTTTACTACCGAAATCAGATTGAAGGAGCCTTCTGAAGAATGCAGTTGGAGACAGTCCCAAGAAGTTACTCTCTGCTGAAATGGGAATACATGAACCCATTGGAATATGGGAGAATCTGTGGACTGCCATCATAAGGGCTGTAATTCCATAGGGTGTGTAACATGTTACAAGTAATAAAATAGCAACAATCCTCTCTGTAGTTTAAAATATAAGTACACAAAGAAAACACTGTTTAGTCAATAATGTATTTGTCATTTGTTACACATCAACGTTAAAATTTGTCAAGTACTTTTCTCAGCTAATAATTAAAACTACCATGCTCTTTGTGAAAGTTATTTTATCACGATGGAAGGTACAACAATTACAGCTAATAACTGTTTAATCTGATTTTAGTGTCATGTCCATAACTTTAAATTCTTCTTTATATTGGCTTATATGATAAGTGAATTAAGATATTGCCATCTCAAATTTATTTGGCTCTGCAATTTGCAACTTTTCTGTTAAAGTTTAGCCAACATTGATCACGTCAGTATTGAGATTTCTGGATATTGACATTTGCTTCTAGGGAAAAAAATATTTTCACCATCCTTTGGCACTGTGTTTTATTACTTACGACTCCTGAATGTTTTTTGCAAGTCTCCACGTTCAATGAGGTCTCACCACCCCGAAAGCCATCATCTGAAATCTCATCACTCATCAGGAATTCTTTCAATTTCTGTTGGCTGTTGGAAGATTTGACAAAATAAAAATGCTTCAGTATCACCTGAGAAAGCCAGTGCGTCATTCCAACAGATTCTAATCTCAATTTAAAATCAAAGCAGGCACAGATAAACCTACTCCACCAGACGCGTTACACATCAGAAGAAGGTTTTGCAGAAACATGGGGCTCTTGATGTTTGCTAGTTAGTAATCCCAGCGCCAACTCTAGACCATGTTGTTCAGGGATAGCCTCCATGACCGACCTACGCAAGATTTCTGGGTCAGGAGATTCTCTGATCTAACCGCATGTTTGCAAATCAACAGCACCCACTGTACAGCACAAAACCAGAAACTCCAGTCTCAGTCCTCAAACAGGAAGAGATGCTACAACTTTATTGCAAGCAAGCACCCAATTGCAGCATTATAAACTCAAAAATTTAATAATAACAAAAGATTAAAACACAGTGCTTTCTCACCCATCTGAGTCACTATCTGGATAGGACATAATTTTGGATTGTCATCAAAAGAACAAATGGTGCAAGGCAACATCTACAATTGTTGAGGTCAAAAAGTACTTAGAAAATTAAAAGGCTATGGAACATTGGGTTGGGATTATGTGATTAACTTTATCAAAGAGCCATCACAGGTATGGGTCGTTTCGGTTCATAGGTAAAGTCCTAAAACTTATTTCAGAAAAATATACCTCAAATATATCCACTGAAAGCAATCTTTCATCTGACTTCATTTTATCTTTGCTTTCTTATAGTGTCTAACATTAATAATTTCTGCCCTTTTATCAAAACCTAATCTTCACAGGACTGGTAGTGTCTTTCTCCCATGCGGCCCAGAGGCACTTCAGCTACTTCACCTAAGGTTAACACAATCTGTAGCTCAGAACAGTGGAGCAAGTTTATAGACGAAGACATTAAAGGAAGTGTTATAAATAGTTTCTAGGGGCATTTTGGAAGGGAGAAAGGATGGTGGATACGGTGAGAAGCTGATCAAATTAAGTTGTGCTATTGCAAGAAAAGGTCAAGTTTTCATTGGGTGTTACAATCTTACCCTTTCATTCAATACCAGTATGTTCTTACATTTTACATAAGTTGCCTAAGCAACTAACATTGGGTTCCAAGGACCGCAATTAGACAACACCCAATTTTTAATAGTCTTTATTGCTACTCATTAAGTTAAATATGTAAAAGGCACATGGCTTCAAATTCTTTGGCATTCATACAATTCTAACTTTCAGTCAAAAAAAATTGTTCTTCACTTTGATTACTAAATAAAACAAGAATGTGTACATTTTACCAGACAGAAACATCTCAGACACCTAGATGTTTTTAATGAGTACTTTATAATTTATGATGTCTGGGAAAAGGGCAGAACATGGTTGACTGAACACTAAAAATCATGCAGACTACAAGAAGAACAGACCAACTGGAAAAAGGTGGGCTACATCTGTGTGGTTGGGCAGAATTCTCTCTCTAGGTTTTTAGTCTTCTTCCATTTTCATCTTCATCTGTGAAGAGTGAGGACCCAAGTCCTGACTAGCACTGTACTCACCACAGTAAACTGGCAGGTTTGCAGGAAGTTACATGTGCCATCTTGTGTTGATCTTTGCAATGTGTTGAAGACAAGTGGGCATCATATAACTGATGGGGAAATGTGAGAGTTCAAGACTTCGATTTTCATTGGAGTCTGATCCTTTCCTCAACTAATATCTAAATACTGGACTTTACAGATTTCAAGAACTCTGGTGAGTTGATTTATCCTAATGACATCTAGGCCATTTATTCAAACTTTGCCATTGTTCCAAATGTGAGCAAGTTACTCTATATAGATCAGAGCATTGTAATTGACTCTTAATTGCTTTCTGCCAATCAGGGCTGGGTAATAAATGCTGGCCTACCCAGTGATGCCCACATCCTTTGAATGAATAAATCTTAACATGGAGTTCATTTGCCTGATTGTCACGGACTAGCTCCATCTATTTGAGACAACATTCTGACACTTTGCCAACTGTGTGAACCTCAGTGGGTATCATCTCATCTCAATGTTAGATGGGTGTAGCTTCAGGTCCCACCCAAAAGACTTGAGCACAATCTCTAAGCTGACACTCCATTGCTGGACTGAAGCAGAACCGCACTGTCAGAGCTGCTGCCTTTCAGATGCAATATTAAATGGACACACACTGAGGAAGACCTAAAAGATCCCGTGACACCATTCTGAAGAAGAGCTGGTGAGGCTTCCTGGTGTCCAGGTCGAGTTATTTCTCAACAAACATCACCAAAGCTGGTAATTTCACTCTTCTGTCTAGGAGCTTGCTGTACGTAAATTGCTGCAGCATTCCCTATTTTACAACAGTGCCTGCACCTCAAAGCACAGCTTGCAATGTCACAGGAACATAAGAAATAGTACCAGGAGTAGGCCATCTGGCCAGTCAAGCCTGCTCTGCCATTCAATAAGATCATGGCTGATCTTTTCATGGACTCAGCTCCATTCACTGCCAGCTCACCATAACCTTAATTCTTTTACTGTTCAGAAATCTATTTATCTTTGCCTTAAAAATATTCAATGAGGTAGCTTCAACTGCTTCACTGGGCAGGGAATTCCACAGATTCACAACCCTTTGGGTGAAGAAGTTCCTCCTCAACATAGTCCTAAATCTGTTCCCCCTTATTTAGAGGCTATGTCCCCTAGTTCCAGTTTAACCTGCCAGTGGAAACAACCTCCCTGCTTCTATTTTATTTATTCCCTTCATAATTTTATACTTTTCTGTAAGATTCCCCCTCATTCTTCTACATTCCAGTGAGTATAGTCCCAATCTACTCAATCTCTCCTCATAAGCCAACCCTCTCAATTCCACAATCAACCTAGTGAACCTCCTCTGCACCCTCTCCAGCGACAGTACATCCTTTCTCAAGTAAGGAGAAACTGAAGTAATGAAAGGCAGTGCATTTAACAATTTCTTCCTGGATTTCAAAGATTACTACTATTTTTATTGATGTTGCATTGAAACAGCTTTTTTTCAAAAATAGCTTAATGAACATCCTAGGACATAATGCAGGACAGAACTACAGAAATCATCAGGTAAATAGTGTCCTGTTCACACAAGACTCTTAGAATACATGAAAAAAATCTATCCTGTAAGGATCTGTGATTCAATCATGGCAACTCAATGGATAGTTATAATAAAAAATATATATATTTCTTTTTAATTAAAGGTGCAAAAATTTAGCTAACTAAATTTACTGTCTGGAGAAAATCCAAGAAATGTCATCAATTATTTGAAAAAAAATTGGGTGTTTAAAATACTGCATGATAAATTCAATTTTTGTTCTCCAACATAGATAACGATCTGTATAAAATGCCATTAACAGTGTTCCAGCTTAAAGCTCTGTGTTTACTCATCCTACTGTCACTGGTCTCTATCATTCAGGTTAACATTTAATTTGGATGCCTGTGGACAAGCCCCACTTTGCTGTGTCTTTAATCAAGAAAATGGAACATCCACATTGAAGCAGCTCCAAATTATATCACTTACTGTTTTGTTCTTACATTGTTTCAAGTATCAAAGTGTTTCTCTATTCAATCATGTATTATCAACTTACTTCAGAAAAATGAATAATCCATTCCGCCAACCCTACATTGAGTGCATTGAGTATAGGGGTTAGGATGTCACGTTGCAGCTGTACAGGACATTGGTCAGGCTACTTGTAGAATACTGCATTCAATTCTGGTCTCCCTGCTACAGGAAAGATGTTGTTAAACTTGAAAGGGTGCAGAGAAGATTTACAAGGATGTTTCCGGGGCTGAAGGGTTTGAGCTTTAGGGAGAGGCTGAATAGACTGGGGCTATTTTCCCTGGAGTGTTGGAGACTGAACGGTGACCTTATAGAGATTTATAAAATCATGAGGGGCATGGATAGGGTGAATAGCCAAGGTCTTTTTCCCAGGGTAAGGGAGTCCAAAACTAGACAGCATAAGTTTAAGGTGAGAGGGAAAAGATATAAAAGGGACACAAAGGGCAACTTTTTTCACTTAGAGGGTGGTGCATGCATGGAATAAGCAGCCAGAGGAAGTGGTGGAAGCTGGTACAACTACAAAATTTAACAGGCATTTGGATGTGTATATGAATACGAGGGGTTTTGATGGCAAATGGGGCTAGATTAATTTAGGATATCTGGTCGGCATGGATGAGTTGGACCACATAGTCTATTTCCATGCTATACAACCATATGACTCTACTTGAACAGTTGTCAGATTTTTCATTCTGTCTACTACATCCCCATTAAAATCAAACTCTAAAGCATATATCAACTAAAACACGACTTGGGCAGGTGCATCCAATTCTACAACTTAGCCAAGCATGTAAACATTTTCTGTTCCAATTACTTCAAAACATGAAAATATTGAGAAACCTCTGACTGCTCAAACAAATACAAGCATTGAGATGTTTGTTTAATAATCAAAGTGAGGAACTTCTTAAAAAGGCTTAAGATTAGTCATCTGGCTAGTGAAGAAGTTTAACAGTTTTTGAACACATGCTGGATGTCATCGTTTTAAGCACCAGTTTACAATCTTCTCTTCAGAATCAGATCTATAAAGTATACAACTTGACATGAAATGGCAGTAACTGAGCTGATTTCCATTACACATCACAGTCTTCTCTAATCATAGGTACGGACAGTACAAGAACATCTTAGTCAATGAGTCAGTTGTGTACTGGCAGGGGAACTCAGCTCATCCATAGTCACTTACTTGTATCACACCTCTTACAGAAGTACAGAATCGAGTCCTGTGATGACAGCTATCCTACTTTGAGCAAAGGATAACCTAAAACGTGGCACGAAGCAAGAAATCATATTTTTAAAAAGTCCTCCTGACTGAATATAAAAAGGGTTAGCTGAATTTACAAAGCCCAAGTTCAACATGGCGAAGCTCATGGTGTTATGGAACATGGATAGAGGATTGATTGACTGGCAGAAGTGGAGATAAATGGGTCTTTTTCAGGGTGGCAGCAGGAGTTCCTCAGGAATCAGAGTTGGGACCACAACTATTCATGTTATACATTAATGAGCTGGATGAAGGAACTGAGGGCATCGTTGCGAAGTTTGCAGATGCCACAATTATAGATGGAGGGACAGGTAGTGTTGAGGATGCAGGGAGGTTACAGAAGGATTTGAAAATGTTAGGTGAGTGGGTAATGAAGTGGCAGATGTAATAAAATGTGGGCAAGTGTTTACTTATATATCTTGGTAGGAAGGACAGAGGCACAGACGATTTTCTAAATGGGCAAAGGGTTCAGCCATCCGAAGTGCAAAGGGACATAGGAATCCTAGTTCAAGATTCTCTTAAGGTAAAAAATGCAGGTTCAGTTGGCAGTTAGGAAGGCAAGTGCAATGTTGGCATTCATTTCAAGAGGGCTAGAAATCAACAGCAGAGATGTACAGCCTAGGCAGTATAAGGCTCTGGTCAGACTACATTTGGAATATTGTGAGCAGTTTTGGACCCTGCATCTAAAGAACGATGTGTTGGTGTTGGCGGGGTCCAGAGGAGATTTACAAGAATGATGCCAGGGATGAAGGGCTTGTCATATGAGGAGTGGTTGAAGACTCTGGGTCTATACTCAATGAGGTTTAGAAGGATGAGGAGAGATCTGATTGAAACTTACAGGATACTAGGAGGCCTGGATATTGTGGATGTGGAGAAGGTATTTTCACTAGTAGGAGAGACTAGGACCCAAGGGCACAACCTCAGAATGAAGGGATGACCCTTTAGAACTGAGATGAGGAGGAATTTCTTCAGCCAGAGGGTGATGAATCTGTCGAACTCATTGCCGCAGAGGGCTGTAAAGGCCAAGTCATTAAATGTATTTAAGACAGAGATAGATTGGTTCCTGATTAACAAGGGGATCAAGAGCTATGGAAAGAAGGTAGGAAAATTAATTGAGAAACATATCACCAATAATCGAATGGCGGAAAAGATTTGATGGGCTGAATGGCCTAATTCTGCTCCTATATCTTATGGTTTTCGGGTCTAATATTTCAGCACATTAAAAGGGTTTCCAAAAAATTGTAAAAAAAGACAAAAATGATTAATGTGTCTTTCTTTCCCTTGATTAGAATCTTTTGTCTCCACTTGCCAATCCTTCATCAGGTATGAGAACCAACCCTTTACAATCCTTTAGAGTTTCCTGATTGGAAATAAAATGGACACAACTGCCTTTGTAAACCAGAGTCATTCTTAAATAACTTGCCATGAGCAATCTGATGCAGGTCGTTTTTGCCAGTTGAATAGTTTACTTAAGTTCTTCAATCTTCAGGAGGTGTTGTGCTGTGCAGGTAGAATGTCTAACAGGAACAAGACAGAGCACTGAAAACTCTACTATACATTGGTGTACAAAACTAAAACAAGAAGAAATGAAATAAGCCTCTTGAATAAGGAGAGCAAAACTCAACTTATGTTTTTAATGTAGTAAAGCACCCACAAACAATTCATTTCGCAAACAAAATTTGACATAAGCCACAGAACAAAATATTTGGATGGGTGATGCAAAGGCTCAGATGCAAAGATGTGAGCCTTAAGAAGTGTCTGAAAGGAGAAGGGAGAGGTGTAGATGATAAGTGGTTTATCGGAGAAATTGCAGTGTTTAAGTCCTAAGCAGCCGAAGGCATGACCTCCTAATTACAGCAACTGACCACAAAGCAGATATTAGGGCTACTTTACTGGGATTTTTATCCATGTTGCATTAAAAATAGCAATGCAGTTTGCATTTTGAACTAGTTAAACACAATTCTGCTACAAATGAAAAAGTGTCATTTTTACATTATCTGAGCAGTCCTCAAAAGGACAGTGAACTTCTAAGTCAGCCTTTCGATGTTACATGGAGTATTGACAGTGGATGAGATTTGCTGCATATTGCAAGCTGAAAATGATCAGGAACCAGCTGAAAAGTGTAATGATTACTTTACCTGACCAGGGCTTTAACTGTGAATCTGATCACAGTGGAGAGCAGAAATAGTGGGGTCACCAAAATGTTGAATAGAGACAATGAAGTAAAGGCCACAGCAGAGGACAGTTTCTCCGAGTTGATGTGGGTATATGCCAAAAACGTCTGTCAGACGGCAGAAAAACTTTGATTACTCATCATATCAAATGTGACATTTCCACAGCATCTCATCTTAAATCAACATACTGTGATCACATCTTCCAAGCAAGAGGGAAGCACTTGGGGCTGACTGCAGTCACTATAAGACATCGACTCCCTCCAGTGTAGAAGCAGGCCATTTGGCCCATTGAGTCCACACCAACTCTCTGAAGAGTATCCCATCCAGACCCACTCCCCAACCCTATTGCTGTAACCCTGCATTTCCTGCAGCTAACCCACATAGCCTACACACTCTAGGCAATTTAACCTGACCAATTCACCTAACTTGCACATCTTTGGATTGTAGGAGGAAACCTGAGCACCCAGAAGAAACACATGCAAACATGGGGAGAAAGTGAAAACTCCACACAGACAATGACCTGAGGGTGGAATTGAACCCAGGGCCCTGGTGCTGTGAGGCAGCAGTGCTAAGCAACTGAGCCAGTGTGCCACCCTCGTGACCTGAACAGCACCTACGCTTGGAGACTTCTCTTGCTTCCTTCTCTGATATGCCCTTTGATAGATAGTTTTAGCAGTACCTCATAATTACAAAACTGCAAAATTCATACTCGTGATTATACAGAAAGATTTTTTGAAATTTCATTGCAGTTCAAATAATTATTGAAAGCAGCAACAATGCTGACTGCTTCACTTCTAGTGAGTAACACATCTCATTGTCTTTGAGTTCCCTTGGCTCTTCCACATTGACGGTGCAATGCAACACACTGGTTTATCAGAGTTCATCCATAACCAGGTGACTTGGGATGCTTGGAGATGACATTTACCAAGTCTTGTACTTTCTTTCCCCAAGTTGTGAGAGATGACAGTCAAAGAGTAAAAGGAGGTTGGGGACTTTAGCAGTCTGGAGTCCAATAAATGAAGTAAAATCCCAGTACTTAGAAAATAACATTTTCAGATACGATATATCAGTAAATTTGGTCATGGAATGTGGTAAGTGCAGCATGCTTGGGACAGAAAAGCTGTATCATTCCCAAAGTTCTTCACTCTTTCGACATGCCATTTAGGGGTCTGTTGTAGACCAATTTGGAATAGCTTTGTACTTAATGTGTAAACTGGATGACAGCAACAGAAACAATAATTCTGGAGAGACTTCAAAGGGCTACTCATTTGTTGTCAACTGTTTTATAAGACCACACAAAGTCAAGACTTCTTCCACTGATAAAGATTGATTAGCATAAGTCAACAATTCCATTATGATTTTATGCTCTGATTACCAGATTGGTAGATGGAGCTTGGTCTTTATTCATCTAGAAATTCCTACATCATGAAGACCCATGGGTTTTGACAAACATATCTACGAGAAAGATTGACTTGATGAGCAATTACTGGCAATTACTTATGTATATTTATTAAAGATGACTTGACTCTGTTGACGGGGAGAACAAGAAACATTGAAGTGTAAACTCAGATTGGGGTAATCATTTTATGTAGGGAATGACTTTGTTTTAAACTGCACTCGATATTTTGCCTTTGTAATTCGCACTCACCAACCTTGTACACCCATCCAAGTTGACTTATCCCCTATGGTATAACACTGCAGCTAGACTACAAATTAAGTCTGACTAGTGCTTATAAATAATAGGTTGACATAAAATAAAATACCTCCACTTGTGAGTTTTTGTCATTTATGAGTAATAACTTGGCTGCCTGCTTCTCTGTTTATTAAATCTCAGCTAGAGTAACTGGTGATCAGTTAGAATTCATAATTGTTGAGCCTGTTTTCTGAGCAAATAAATCAGTTTTACAGTGCCTAGCCTTGGGTGTCTATCTACCCCACACTCCACTTTTGCTGTAGTTAGGCCACTAGCCAAATTGAGAGCTGGTGAAATCTAGATGAGACTGGCGACACTAGTAGCTCCACAAAACTACTCAAACGTGGCATGCTGCTTTTCCCAGACCAGCCCCAACTCAACTTTGCCTCAATCCTCCACAATCCCATCTCCAAGTCCAGGTCAGGTCAGTTCAGTGTCAGAGTCAGCTTGAATTGGGCAGATCCTAGTCAAGCAGCAGTGAGACACTTGAACATTGAATGCAGTTCACCCAACCAATGTGAACGAGGTACACCCATGCTGTGGGTGTACACCCAAGGTGTGGGGCTCAATTTGAATCGGGCCTTAGACCAACAGAGAGAGGCTGTTTGTTAACCAGCCCTGGAGCCAAATTTGGCTCATACTGCTCACTTTGCTGAATTTATTTCAGCATGCTCGTAATAACTGTCTCCTTTGTACCCTCAGTGGCATGCCACAGTGAATAAATTACTTTGCAAAAATGATCAGCATAGAAACATAGTTAACTTCAAAGTGTCACATTTTCTATCAGGATTCACCTTTATGCTCCAACAATAATGAGTCAGCAAGCTAGGCACCTTGATTCTAAATTATTATAACAGCCCATCTAGATTATAAACATCTGTGCTCAGAAGGTAATGTGTTGGAGCTCTTATGACAAGGCTTAATCTGGTTGTGTAAGTGAGGAGCTGCAATGTTTTAATGAAATATGTTCTTACCGCCAACACTGCTGCAATCGGTATTGCTGCATTCATAAATACTAGAAAAACGAAGAGAACAAAGCACAGTAAATTACGCCAGTTAGCAACTGGAATCATCACTATAACTCTCACAGTGTGGAGCAAAATATCCTCTTCCAATTGGGAAGAACAGCTGTAGGAACCGTGTTTCCCACACAAAAACGATTGGCTAGATTATCAGTTTGTGCAAATATGGGCATTTGCACTTTTGCAGTGCAGTCACACGCACAGGCAGATCCCACAACTCTCAATGCAGCAAATGGTAAAATAATTTGTTTCAGTTATTGGTTGAAGGATCACTGTTAATCAAGGAACCAGGGAGACCTACCCTGTTCTTCTATAAAGTGGTGTCACACAGTATTTATATTTACCCAAAGGGGTGTTAGGCAAGTCTTTTCAGTCAAAACTCCATCCCAAACATGGCACCTCCCTCAGAAATAGCACACTTTCTGATTTGAGACTTGAATGTCCATCTGATTCAAGTGCAACAGAGTACTCCCACCAACAGCCACATTGATCACCTACTTAAAATTAGACACGATGATAGGATTTTATTTAATTACAGCGTATTGGTATGAAGAATGCCAAATCGCCTTCTAACTGCAATGTGGCTTGGAATGTAGGGCATTACATTTTAAAAGGGCCAATTTGCCAGGTACCGATCAGGTTGACATCGAGACTCTTCTCCCCTCCATGCAAGACAGGTAATAACAAGAACCTGCTTTAAAGTAACAACTTTAATTAGTAACATTAACATAGGAAAGGCAACAAATGATGTTGCTGGAGTCAACCATGATCTACATTACAGATCCTGGGAAACCATATTGGGTTCATAGTCAGGTAAAGATCTGTCACATTGCATGAAACAGGAAATTCCACACTGACCAAAAATATACTGAGCATTTTAATTGTCACTAACTTAACAGTTAATTAAGGTGAATACATACTGGATAAGGATGTGTAAAGTGCAAAACTCTTGAGACTGGTTAACTCTTGCATTCTAGTCTTTTCCACATTGTTACAGAAAATATGCTCCCAGGCATAAAGTTTCAAAAGTTTGATCCCCTTTAAGATCTCATTGGTGTTCTTCAGTCGTTCTGTGGAGTAGTCCTTAGAAAACAGGAATAGAAATATCACACTAAAAAAAAAATCAGTTCTGAGTTGGAATACTTTATGGTAACTACCAAAAACCACATACACCACTCAATGAAATAATGAAAGAGCAGTAACATTTAATTATTGATGAGAAAACTGTTTATCCTAATATGCAATAAGTAGATTTGTTTCAAGGTTTCCTAATAGAGTCACAAAGCTGACTTGCATTCTTCTGTCAGAAACCTCATTCCCTTATTGTTTTCCACTCTCTGGAGCAGCTGGAATGGCTTTGGAGAGCTCTAGGTCTGCTGTCCCATTCTTCGTTTGGATGTACGCATACCAAACATCATTAAGGACAGCATGGTGGCTCACAGTGCCAGGGACCTCAGTTCAGTTCCGGACTTTGGCGACAATCTGTATGGAGTTTGCACGTTGTCTCCGTGTCTGTGTGGGTTTCCTCTGGGTGCTCCAGTTTCCTCCCACAACCCTAAGACGTGCAGGTTAGGTGGATTGGCCATGCTAAAAACAAAATTATCCCATAGTGTCCAGGGTTGTGTGGCTAGGTGGGCTAACTTTGGTAAATTTGAGGTTACAAGGATAGTGTAGGGGTCTGGGTAGAATGATTTTCAGAGGGTTAATGTGACTCACTGGGTGAATGGCCTCTTTCAACACTGTAGGGATTCTATAATAAAGGTAGGTGAGACAATATTGTGGGTTCTTTAATGATAAGACTACATACAGCTGGATTTACTAGATGCTCAGCGCAATATATTTTATTCCTATCACTGCTGCTCAACAAGTCACAACACAGGTATATCGCATCCTGTCAGAGTATACAGTGATTGATGCAAGGAAGATACATCCCCTTAAAGGTGTACATCACCACAACAGAACAGCTAAGTGAGCCTTGTAACTAACAACTGGGCAGGAGATTTCAGTGCAGCTATATGTGTAGCAGGTAGGACTGCAGTAAGGAAGGGGATATGATTGTGAAAGACCAGGTGCTGTGAATGTAGCAGAGTAGGAAATGCCAGTATGACAGGTCATTCAGCTACACGCTGGCCTCTGAGATCAGGGTTCACTTAGGCTGGGGATAAGGTGTACAGTTGGAACGGAATGCTGGAGGAAGGGTTGGATTAAGACATGTGCATTCACAACGCCTGACCCAGTGAATACAGAGCTCATCACCAGTGGTATGTTGTAACATAATACGCTCTATTATTAATGAAGTGTTAGTACATTTTTTCATGTCTGCATGTTTACGTTTTAGTGGATGGAGATTCTGTGGGGTCAAACATGGAAAAGACCAGAGATATTAGGAACTGCAGACGCTGGAGAATCCGAGACAACAAGGTGCAGAGCTGGATGAACACAGCAGGCCAAGCAGCATCAGAGGAGCAGAAAGGCTGACGTTTTGGGCCTAGACCCTTCATCAGAAAAGACCAACTGATTTAAGAATTCTTGATTCGGGCTTTACTGAGCATTACTCTTCATAAACTGAGAACACTGAATGTTGAATACTGAGGTCGTGAATTTCAAAGTAAAAGATAAAAATAAAGTCACCATAGACCCAGAGGATCATAGCTCTGCTTTCTTATCAGAGACAAAGAACTGGTGGCGATTTAACCTGAAGGCCACCACACCTCAGGCGAGGGGAGAGGTTGAGAAGGAGAGCTCCTCATGGTAACCTTAGCCAATACAGGAATTGGACTCACACTGTTGGTGTCACTATGCATTGCAAACTAGCCAGCCACACTAAGCACAAACCAAAACACACAAACTGACTTCCATTTCACTAACAAATTATATGCGACTTAAAGTTTTCTTTTAATCACACATGGCACATGTGCGCCATTGGCTGGGCCAGTATTTATTGCCTATCCCTAGTTGCCCTTGAGAAGGTGGTGATGAGCTGCCTTCTTGAACTGTCAAATCCATATGATACAGGTTGAACCACAATGCCCTCAGGTTGGGAATTCCAGTATTTTGATCCAATGACAGTGATGGAACAATGATAAATTTCCAAGTCAAGATGGTGAGTAGTTTGGAGAACTTGCAGGTGGCAGTGGTGTTCCCATGTATCTCCTGCCTTTGTCCTTCTAGATGGAAGGGATCCTGGGTTTGGAAGGTGCTGTCTAATGAATTTTGATGAATTTCTGCAGTGCATCTTGTAGGTCGTACATACTGCTGCTACTGAGTGTCGGTAGTGGAGGAAGTGGATACTTGCAGATATGGTGCCAAACAAGCAGGCTACTGGATGGTGTCAAGCTTTTTGAGCGTTGTTGGAGCTGAACCCATCTAGGCAAGTAGGGATTATTCCATCATATTCTTAACTTGTGCCTTGTAGATGGTGGACAAGCTTTGTGGAGTCTGGAGGGGAGTTACTCATCGCAGTATTCCTAACCTCTGACCTGCTCTTGTAGCTACTGTATTTATGTGGTGAGTCCAGTTGAATTTCTGGTCAATGGTAACCCCGAGAAAGTTGATAGAAGGGGATTCAGTGATGGTAATACCATTGAATGTCAAGGAATGGTTGTTAGATTGTCTCTTATTGAAGATGGTCATTGCCTGGCATTAATGTGGCATGAAAGTTACTTACCACTTGTCAGCCCAAACTGGCTATTGTCCAGATCATAATGCATTTGGTTTTGATTTCCCATTTTAAATAGTCAGTACTTACCAGAGTGCTTTTCTGTGCATCTGTGAACTTAGTTGCTATGAAATACTGCAAAGGGGCAAGTAGTGCTATGACAGAAGCACCAATCAGTGCACTGATTCCAAGCATGTAATACAATAAGATTACACCCATGATAATCTGAAAATAAGAACAAACAAAATCTCAGTGAAGAAGACAGATCAAAGGAACAATATTGATTGAAACATTGAAGATTAGGAGACTCAGTCTAAGGTCAGTGCTCCCTCCCCACCTCAGAAGAGCTCCCCTGGTTAGTTATTGAACCAAATCCTCTGGCTTCTAGATGCTCAGAGACTGAAAGGTACCTTGAAAGTTGTGTAGAGCTGGATGAACACAGCAGGCCAAGCAGCATCAGAGGAGCAGGAAGGCTGACGTTTCGGGCCTAGACCCTTCTTCAGAAAATCTTCAGAAAAGCGGAGGAAGAGGTTGGGGATAGTGTCAGTGTAGCAGCGGAAGATAGAAACGGGTGGTGCTAGGTTGGGGAACAATGAGGTTGGAGGCTGTGGGTGGGAGGTCACCTG